CTTTTTTATATATATTATTTTTTTATTGTTATAAGCATTAGGCATTATTATATACGACTGGCTAGTTAGGCCCAAATAAGTTCTTTTGTAAGAATGCAGTAAAATTAAATTTACCTTCTATTTACAATAGTTATACATACATAACAAATAGAGAAAAATACTAATAGTAACAAACTTAGTAAATATTTAAATTAATTATAATTTTTATCAGAGATCTTGGTTGAGAAAAAAAGCTAGTGTCACGAGCGGGATTCGAACCTGCGACCTTTGGTCTAACACTTAAGCTCTCGTGCTCCCCGTGTTACCCACTCGGATATCAACTCCTCATCTCAACCTACAACCATTCCAATTTTCTCTCTTTTTGCCATATTTTCTTTTATAATAAGATGAGATTTTATAACCTCACGGAGGGCCCTAAGACTCCTAGGGATCGAATGAGGATGTCATTCTTCAAAAAGAACGGTTTACTATGTTGAATGCTTGTTGGAGGCGGCGAAGGTCTTGCCTGTCTCTTTGTCATGTCCCATAAATGTTCTATGGGATTCATGACAGGAGCTGGCGAGTTCATTATGATACGTTAGGGGTGACAACTCGTCAGCATTGTCACGCATTAACATAGTTATCCCCCAATAAATGGAGCGAATTGCACAGAACTTCCTCAATGTCCCTTAATGCCGACGAAGATCTTTGCCATATCTGACAGTCAGACAAAAGGCTGCGACTCACGCATGGCCATGAAGCAAAACGTTCTCCACGTCTTCTCCAGGTCATCTGATCGCCACAAACCAAACCGGCACTGATCTGTGACGAGAATTCCCATTGTTCAAGTGTCCAAGCTGATTAATTTTCTACTCGATGCCTCTTCAGTAGTAGAAAACTAAGTCTATCAGCTAGGTTATTTTCACGAATCCTACTGATGACCGTTTTAGAGCTCATTCTTACATTACGAACATTGAGCACCTGTTTAGGATGTCGTTAAATGACGGTTCCATAGTGCGGTAAGAGCAAAACGATCGCCGTCGTAATTGGCACCAAAAAGCTGTAAGTGGATCGTAGATGGTAGACCGCGGCACACCCAGGACTTTAGGCTATGGTATCTTGGGTTACATCCGTATTAATGTTGTGTTTACCTTTTATGCCAGTTATTCTTCTTTAGATCTAGTTATTATGGAAAATAAATAACTAAAAATGTTCGGTTTTTCGGTCCTGTATTTGAAATTTTACTGTTCGTCTGGAAATCGCTTGTCTATTTTAACTCTTTCCCTTTAATGAAGTTTATATTCAAAGTGTGAAATAGGAAGTGAAAGTTATTGTAGAAAAACGCTTGATTCTGATCACAAAAATTTCGGAGATTTTTGCATCGAGCATTAAAAGCGTTGTTTCACATTGGCCATGCCTAAAATCGACATGCAATTTTCAGCCCTTTCGGCGGAAAGTCTGCCCCCGGGTAAAAAATGTACACCGGGTCATAATTCATGTTGGGATTGTAAAAATAATTTGGAAAACAGATGTTGCCCGTTTGTAAGTGATCATCGGTCCGAGGCTGAATCCGTGCCAATAAATCAACGGAGTGTTTATACATTCTCCTCCGGGTTTGGACCACTTTCGTGACATCACTCAAGAAAGCCGTTCTTGACGAACTTGTAAACATCCGACTCTCAGTTTTGTTGGCCTCTTCTCGCCTCTCCCTTTCAAACCGAAAAATCCACTGTCAACCCTCCCAAAGCCGCGGCTTCAACCGTCGACGTGTTTACTCAAAAAAAAGGCTGAGATGCTCCAGCTACTTTTAAAATACCTCGACTGTGGAGCTTTTTTAAAGGGCGAAATCAATAACACAAAATTACTTATACAGATATAATATGCCTTTGTTGCCATCAAATTAAACCAATATTTAATTACTCGTATTAAAAACTTTGCCAGTAGATTCTACATTCAAAATGGAACCAAAAAGTCCTAATTAACTATGGTCCGAATCTCAATAGTTTCGGAGTTAATCCCCTTTTTCAGATTTTTTAAGATTTCACGACCTTACTTCAAATAAAGAATGATAACTCCAAAAATTAAAAGTGTTTGGACAAATCCGTTGATACCATTGAAAACTAAGTTAAATTTCCAATAAGATGTGATCAATACTAAAGTTGTAAACGTTGGTGAAATAAGCGTTTTAGTAGCTAGAACTTTGAAAAAAAAATTTTTTTCAAAATTGAAAAACTTACTATGGTGATTTCCAAACCTAGAAACCAGCAAATTTCATAAAACGTACTCCATTTAAAATCCTTTTTAGTGTTGAAATTACTTGATTATTCAGAAATCGTGGGATGCGGTCTGGTGTGAGTTAGGTTTCAGAAAAACATTTTCTTTATCGTGCCAACGTTTCGATCTTTATTTAGATCATCATCAAGGCTCAAAGTGTTTGTTTTCAGCGTAATTGTGCCATTTTTGCGTGTAGTGTTGAGAGTGGCACACTTTGAGCCCTGAAGATGATCTCAATAAAGATCGAAACGTTGGCACGATAAAGAAAATGTTTTTCTGAAACCCACATCACACAGACCGCATCTCACGATTTCTGAATAATCAACGACTAACGGTCACTAATCACCACACACTTTTTTAATTACATTTTTAAAGATGAAGAAATTAATGAAAGAAAGGAAAAAACCGTGGTTGACGTATTGCTAAGGTGGAATAATTAATAATAATAGAAAAAACTTAAGGAAATTTTGAATGAATGAACTAAAAACGTTTTGAATCTTAAAACTTTTATTCCGGGGAATAAAAATATAGTAATCTTTTAATCAAAGTTAATAAATTCATTAAAAATTTCCTTGTTTTTTGTTTTTTTTTAAAAGTCATTCTGTTGTTTCTTTCCTTCCAAAACTTACAAGACTTTTGGATTGTTTATTTCCAATGAGTAAATTCCACTTCCTCATTTTCATATACATAATAGAATTAATTCAAAACATAACAGTACCTTAACAGTCTTGAAATTCCATATGCCAATGAGGCAAAGCACCTTGATATGATATTAGATGCTAGCTTGCTATGGAAAACAAATTTTTTCAACTCGCCAATTCTGAAAAATGTACTGGTTAATAGGCAGCTCTCCTCTATCCATTAAAAGTAAGCTTTTACTTTATCAACAGGCATTTGTACTCCCGGCTCTGTATGATTTGATAGCTACAACACCAGCCATCAAATCATACAAAGATTTCAGAGTAGAGCTATGCTTTGTCAATGCACCTTGGTATATCAGAAATGAGGCCCTTCATCATAACATCAAAATGAAACAGTACACAAAGCCATAAAACTACTTTAGCCTATCAAACGTTTAGAGGACATATCAACACCTAACCAGACAAACGCGTCAAGCCATATGATTTATTGCTGATACATTGATGGGGTAAAAGTGTGATTTAAAAATGAAAAAATATATATTACTGTCCATGGTAGTAGGAAAATATTACTTATACCTATGGTAAGTAAGTAAAGGGGAGCCGCGGTAGCCAAGTGGTTAAGGCATCAGACTCTCGGCTAGTAGATCCCGCGGTTGTGGGTTCGATCCCCACCATCGCCTCTGGACAATTGACAGAAATTGACAAGGCACTCGTCAATGGAAGGGGCGGGATCGGATCTCAGCAACCCTGAATTTGGTCCCAACCCCCTTCAAAAATGAGTTTCTTCGATGGAAGAACACCGGTACCCTAACCATCCCTAAAAAAAAAAATTAAAAAACACTAATATTTTTAGGCTTTATTTTGTATGTAATGTGAAAAGATACATTTATTTATGAAAAAATATTCTTTTTTTAAATATTATATAAACAATAAGATACAATAATAATATGGCTTAATATGATTGTCTCATATAAAAAAGCAAATATCACTAAATATTTAAAAGTTATAACAAACAATGGAAGACAACATAAAAACGATTACTTGATTTTTCCTATACTTATAATTATGATAATAATAATTATGCTAGCATTTTTGGAAACTGTTGTTAATGAAATAATATTAATTAATTGAACAGATAGTTTAATAAAATATAAATCTATGTCTTCAGTTATCACAGTTTAATTTTTTATTTTTGTTTGTTTGTTTTTTTAGTCTGCCAGTCATGAGAATGAATTGAGAAAATCAATGCATACAGGTTGTAGGCTGATTAAATTATTGTCTCAACAGCACCAAATTTTATACTCGGCTAATAAAAAACTAATTTTAATATTAAGTGACAATGGTATACACTGAATGGGCACATTGCACAAAAATTCAAATAAATAATACAAAAATAAATTTTACTGTATAACTTATTTCTTTTATAAAATATAATTTATTGAGTATTTATATAATTTATACTACATAAGTGCAAAAGAAGCAACACCCATCACCATTTTTTTTTTTTTTAACAAAATAATGTAAATTCTAAATATATTAACACTCCCATTATAAAGATTTTTAATAATCAATCATTCATATGAAATATTTTTTGATCTTCAGAAAATTTTGTTTAAATATTTTCTAGAATCACTTTTTGAACAATTTGGCACAAAAAAATCTAGCTCTGCTTTTTCACTTGTCAATAAATTATCGCAGCTCTTTAAAATTTTTATATGGAAACAAAAAAGATAAATAATAAGAATAATATACAATTAATTAAGGTTTTTAGTTGAGATAAAAAAGTCAATGGCACGAGTGGGATTCGAACCCACGATCTTCGGCTTGATACCGCTGCTCTACCACTTGAGCTATCGTGACCTCGATCCACTCGGACACCACCTCCCATCTCAACCACACCTTTTGAATTTTTGAAATTGAAAGGAGGGAAAATTCAAAAGGTGTGGTTGAGATGGGAGGTTGGAGTCCGAGTGGATCGAGGTCACAATAGCTCAAGTGGTAGAGCAGCAGCGTATCAAGCCAAAGATCGTGGGTTTGAATCCCACTCGTGCCATTGACTTTTTTATCTCAACTAAAAACCTTAATTAATTGCATGATATTAATTGGTCAAGCGGACCTCTAAACTAGTGAATTTAATAAGAATAATAGTTATGATTCCATGATAATAAGGTAAGCCTTAAAAATCAGATCTAAAAGTTAAATTTTGAGTAGAAGTAATTGAAATGTTTTAATTTGCCCTGGTAACTCACAGAAAGAAAACAGTACAAAATTTGGTGCTTGTTTCTTTTGAAAAAACGACTAGGTAAAAATGTACTGAAAAATATTTTTAAAATACTTAATTGTCCGCTGGCTTTCACAGTGTACTCACTCCACTCCTTACAAATGTATTTTTCTGTCAAAACGAATTTAATTTCAGAACAAATCAAATATTGAAGAAATCTACGAAACACTCACGTGTTTCCTCGAAGCTAATTCTGCAGCTTTTGTAATCAGAACGCGTACATCTATCGGCGGGAAGTTCTAAAATAAATTAAAAAANGAGAAAATTCAAAAGGTGTGGTTGAGATGGGAGGTTGGAGTCCGAGTGGATCGAGGTCACAATAGCTCAAGTGGTAGAGCAGCAGCGTATCAAGCCAAAGATCGTGGGTTCGAATCCCACTCGTGCCATTGACTTTTTTATCTCAACTAAAAACCTTAATTAATTGCATGATATTAATTGGTCAAGCGGACCTCTAAACTAGTGAATTTAATAAGAATAATAGTTATGATTCCATGATAATAAGGTAAGCCTTAAAAATCAGATCTAAAAGTTAAATTTTGAGTAGAAGTAATTGAAATGTTTTAATTTGCCCTGGTAACTCACAGAAAGAAAACAGTACAAAATTTGGTGCTTGTTTCTTTTGAAAAAACGACTAGGTAAAAATGTACTGAAAAATATTTTTAAAATACTTAATTGTCCGCTGGCTTTCACAGTGTACTCACTCCACTCCTTACAAATGTATTTTTCTGTCAAAACGAATTTAATTTCAGAACAAATCAAATATTGAAGAAATCTACGAAACACTCACGTGTTTCCTCGAAGCTAATTCTGCAGCTTTTGTAATCAGAACGCGTACATCTATCGGCGGGAAGTTCTAAAATAAATTTAAAAAAAAAAAAAAATTGATTCTGAAGTAGAAAATCTTTTATGAAAAATTATTTCAAATTACAACTTACTTGGAGAAGTTTGACATTATTAGGAAAATCCCCATCAAGCAATACTTCCCTGAGATGACTGAAGAAGAAATTTTGTCAATCATATTTATTAATTTTAGTTTAAAAAAGAAAAGTGATACATACACTATCATGGCACAGCAAACATGGATTAAAAATGAAAATCTGTTTGAATCGGCAAATAATGAATCCCAAATCCTCAATACATCAGGAAGCGGGAATTCTTGAGAAAGAAGAAGAGTCAACCACCTTTAATAATTAAATTGAGTCAATGTTTAAGCAAAATATAAAATTATTATAATTGAAAAAAAAAAACCTAAAGCTGTAGTACTGAGGTTTCAGATCTTGTTTTTGCAATTGCATATACACCTGGTGGTCATTAGATCTAAGTTCTTTCTCTAATGCGTGCATCAATCCATTTATTCCTGATTCGGCCTCGTCTAGTGTTTTAATAAAAAAGTCTCTAATCTCACCCATTAGATTTGTGAATACAAAAAAACAGTCCGCTTCCGCATGCTCTTGAAACAAATCACGATTTTTAAGTCTTATTGTAACATGAAATTTTATTACAGTTGAAAAAATTATCGTTGAAACTTTATAATTAATTGGTCAAGCGGACCACGAAAATAGGGAATTTATAATTAATGTACCTCTCCAACTTATATCAGGATCACAAGCGAACACGTGATAAATCGGTCCGATTATTTCGTTCATTCCTTGAACGTACCCTTGGCCGGGGTTCAGCTTTGCGTAGAGAAAGAGGATCCTTTCGACGACTTCCCAATGCGCCTCCGAACCTTCGGCAAGCGGGGCGTAATCCTCCGAAGCCTTACGAACAGTCAGTGCTATCTGTTTCATAAATATTTAAATGAATCTCGACATCAAAATATTTTATGAAAATAAATTACCTGCTGTAAATTCCAAGAGAGTTAAAAAAACAAAACAATAATCCACGTTTAACTTTTACTACAGTAAAATACACAATTAAAAAAACATTTATTGCGAGAATTTACCCTAGTCATCCCAAGGCCTTTTCGCTCGACATTGGCCGATTTGAGAATTGAGTGTTGGACCCTTCTGTGCAGCCGTTTCGCTCCTCCGGAATGAACAACTGCTTTACAAGGAAACTGAGTAGGCTGCTGGAAGAATGAAATATCAGGGCAGAGCCTCCTATTTAAAAAAAAAAAAAATTATATTGTGTTACTCTTATATTATAGATATTATTTTGCAGTACCTAACATCTTTATCTATTTGCAGAAGGACTTCATTATCTTTGAAAAAAGTCCCCCACTGGCTGTCTGGATTGAGATTCAACGGATGATCGGAATATGTGACATCGACTCTATCACCTTCAGTATCACTACTTTCGCCAGGGTTGACGATCATTTCATCTAACAACACACATTTAAGCTTATTCAACTTGAGTACATTTAAAAAAAAAAAAAAAAAAAAACTTGTTTCTTACCTACAAACTGCCTGTAAAGCTCTCTTTTCCTCGCTAAAGTCTCACTCCATGATTTCCGTAAAGGAGGGAGATAATTGAGCATCAGCTTCCAACAAATCGCTCTGTTTGTTTGTTCATCGGGAATACCTGCAATCAATCTATTTATATTTTCCTATACTAAAATTCACAATTTACCAAAGAAACATGAACTGTACATGACTAAAATGAAATATTGAAAAGTTTATTTATAATGAACAATGAAACAATGTGGTGTTTCTTGGTTATTGTGGATCCTTTAAGGAATGAGTATATTCCGTCTCCTTGGCATAATTTCCAAGGTTTGATTTTTGGAAGTTTGGATCCCCTTTTCCATATTGAAATCTATTAAATCCTGGGTAGTCTTTGGGATTGTAATTAAAATTCCTTGTAGTATTTGCATTGTAAGTAGGAAACAATTGGGATTCATGGGTGTAATAGTTATTGAATCTTCTGTTGGAGGGACAGTCGTATTGTTTGAATTATANTATTATTTGTTCAATGAGCGTGACAAAATAATTATATAAATTTAAAGGGATTAAGAACAAATTTGTTAATTGAATGCAATTCTATTTTTCCAAATTAAAATTCCTGTGACGAGTTTTTTTTCATTTACTCTGCTACCATTATTTATTGTGGATCCTTTAAGGAATGAGTATATTCCGTATTTTAAGGTTTGATTAACCCACTTGAGGCTGGTGATCTGCCTCAATATCAAGGAATTTTGATTTGAAATAAGTTATGAACCCAATTGCAGAGGGACACCTCTGTTTTGTTTCTTTTAAAACAAAAATGTATTTCCTTATGAATCAAGATACATTATATAAAAAAATATAAAACAACAAAACATGAACCTTTGCTTACAAACTAACAATATAAGAATAATTAGATACTATGGGATAATATGGGCCTGAGGGGCAAAATTAAAATAATCAACCTTGATAACCAAAATGGAAAATACAAAAAAAACCATAAATGAAAATGGGCCACACAACAGAAATAATTTATATTAATAAAAATCAAAGTGGATACAAATCTGATTTGACTGGCTTTCAGCTGGATTTTTTCTTATTGTTTTTCTTCCAATGCCTAGGCTAGACTGAACTATCCGTTCTCGCTTTCCTGCCTCCAGCATGGAGGGGAGAGCCTGGACATAATTTGTTGTTATATGGTCTAAAGGTGGCCCCAGATATCCAAGTCTCAAGATGCTCGACTCAGCATTTGCCAAATAGAGTGCCTACACACATGCGAGATTTGTACCACCCAGTACGAAAAGAGCGAATATGTATTTGCCAAGTTCGAGTCCTCAACTTACTACTCATGACGGACAACATTGCTGAAGTTGCAGTTATTAATCTCTTCGCATGTCTGTGGTATTGATCTACAAAGTTTTGGATTCATTAAGGATCATTTTGACATGTATCCTCTTTTGTGGCAAGATTCTAGGCCATAGTAAGATTCAGAACCTAGAGAATTTTTAGTTGGTTCCTTTTTTTGGTCAGCATATATATTGTCTCATTGCCTCTATGTCAAATACCCAGGGCTGTCTAAGATTATACATATCTGTGCACCTTTCACATTTTTTTTTATTAACTCCTGATCGCAGAGTAATGCATGGACTTCAGCTTGGAAAATCGTTGAGGTTAGTCCAGGGGGCTTCGCTGGTGTGAAGTTCGACCCTTTTATCCCTACTCTCTGTTATAACCGCGATCACCATATTTGGGCCGACTTTTTTCCAAATGTCTATCGTCGACGTCCACTTGGAAGGGGCTGTCAAAGCTGAGCTTTTCTCTCATTTTGACAGACACCGTTGTAGCCATCTGATTTTAATTCGTTTTAGGGTTCCTCACTGAAGACGGCTCAAAGACAAGAATAAACATTAAAAAAAAACCCACGAGTTTAGACAAACCCAGTAAGTCCACTGCCTATTTTTTAGATTTTTAAATTTCCTGGCAAAATGGTATTTTAAGGACTTTTTTTGTCTGCATGTTATTTTTTGGTAGATAATATGTTATCTGACATTATGATAAGTCAAATTAAATTAACAATTATTTGAACACAAGCGTGAATGGAAGGACAAAGGATTAGAGAAAAAAAAGGGGGCGTTAATTGCCAATTACTTAACTTGGGCCACTATTTTGACAATTAGGGATGTCCAGAATTAACAAAAATTAAATCTGAAATGTAAAAATGTTAAATTAATTGATTTATAAAGGCAAACCGTTGAAGCAAAGTAATTTCAATCTTCTTAGGTCGATTTCTTCACATCCGATCACATCCTCGAAAAGTTTCAACCTTTCAATAAAAACAAATTATTTAAAAAAAGTAAAATATAAAATTTGTAAATTTTAAAAGAAAATAACTTACCTTTCTTTGTAGGATGACATGAAGGATGTCTCTTCGAAGTAGAGAATACAAAAAAGAAGAAGGAATATAAAAATCCCAGGGGAATTAAACAATAGAGACTGCAGTACTAATGGGATGGCATGAGAAAATCAGATCCCTTTTTCTATTTATCGCTAGAGAACATAGAGATAAACAGCTAGAACGACATGAAATTCCAAACTTTCCCTAATAACCGATCCCCACTGCTGCAGAACACAAACAAAACCTTCGTTCCAGTCCAAAGTCGACCCAGCAGCATGAATCCTATGATCGAACCTGACAAAGGTCGATAGCATATCGTATAGCGCGGCGGATCCAAACTTTCAATCTGACAACTTTTGAAAGAAAACAAAAACAAAAACAACAATCATACGAAACAAATTTAAAAACCTCATCAAAACGGTTTACACCCGTTCGTTTCGTATTATTTTGAATTGAAATTTGTTCCATTTATAAAATATTTGTATGCTATTTGTTTAGTATTAATATCGTATGTATATATGTATATTGTATTTGCTTAGGATGCCTACCAATATAAGCTCATACATCATTAGTTCAAAGATGGTGTTGAGCTTCAAAACCAAACTAAACATTTTAGGTAAGCAGAACAAAGTCAGCTTCTGCTGGGGCCCAGGACATATGGGATTGGAACGCTGCTGTTCTGCTGATACCCGAATCAACGAGCACCATGGACAGAAGGATAAAAAGAAAATGAGGGAGTTCACTCATTGGACACAAACAATCCAACAACCTCCTAATAAATTTCGGAAGGAAAGAAGTAGCAGAATGTATCAAAGGGAGGAGGAAAAACGCCCTAACAGGACACTCCAAACTAAATGTTTAAAGAAGAAGATAATCCAAGAATCTGCAAAGAAGCAGAGGAGACACAAACACACCTATTAACAAACCGTGTTCTACACTTGCCTGCAGGAGGAAGTGTTTTGGGATGTAAAATGTGACTGTAGAAGAAATTCAACCACAGAAACCAAGCCTACTAATCAAGTTTCTTGATTAAATAGAACTCACTGGTGTGCTATAGGCACAGGGGATACAATAGCACTTAAAGGCAGCAGTATAATACGCACCTCGACTAATACATCTATCCATCCAACCATACATGGATCAGCATTCTTGGCTTGGTTTGCCAAAGTATGCAAAAGCGTTCATGGCCGATGATGCCCTGACTGAACTTGGCCAATTTATCAGCCTCCTGGTAGTAAAACATTTTTGTTACTACCAATGAGTATGATTGACCTAGTAGATGGCTATTCGTTTGTTGGTATACCCAACCTTTTTATCTTAGCAGTGTGCAATAGCCACAGTCCCTGCCTGATATACTGTGTATATATATATAATCTACTCCTTGGTTTATTTCCATAGGTATATATCCAGCTACTGACCCTCGATGATGATCATAAATATGGATACTAGGAAATAGAGGTTTTGGGTTCTCCAAGCACTGCAGCCTTTCGGCTTATTGTACTTTCTGGGTTCCTTAGCTCAGTGCAATCAACTCGATCCTTCTTGTAAGAAGCACTAGGTCATTGACTGTTGTTGCTACAATTCCTGGGTGTCCTTTGTATCCAGGTTAGGTCTCCATTGTGCAGTTGCTCCGCATTCGAAGATGGCTGTTTCTTCCTCCTCATTGTATAACCTACAAATGGGGCCATCAAAATACCTACGTTATGTAGAAGTTTTCTCAGATGCCAGTTATCAGTATATAGTTTTTCATGCATCTGAGTTTAGTCCTTTCAATTTTAGCAGTAGTTTGCCAGTCTTGGTAAGGTATTTTTTAACATAAGTTTACTGTCTATCGCCCCTAGAGTTTATCCACTTCTCCTTTTGTCTTTTTTGGATCCATTCTGACATGGTGGACTATGTATTTGTTTTGTTATTCAAAGAAAAGGTTCAGGGCCTGTACAGGCCTTGCAGATCTTCCTCTGGCCAATGTATCTACTTGTTCATTTTTCGATACCAAAGTTTCCTTTGTACCCTGGAACCCAAGATATTATTAAGTTGTTGCACTTTCCCAGGATTTGAGATTTTGGATACATCCACTGATTAATTTTGATGTGATTTTTTTACATGCTAATGCTTTAATAGCTGCTTGGCTATACTATCTTAAGAGGATTTTTTTTCAAATAATTGAAACCTTTTTTAAGATATTCTAAGGAATAAGTGTTGATGGCATGTCTTTTAATTTGAAGACCAAAGCCTCTTCCGTAATGAGTTGGATTTTTCATATTTTAGGCTTGTACAGAAAATGCCTGACCTAGTTCATTTGTTTTGGAGCTATCTGTATACCATATCATCGAATCTGATGTTCTCAATTCTTCTTCACCATTGCAATCTGTTGAGACTTTATAGGATGTAGTAAAGAGTGTTTCCTGAATGTGTCCTCATGTAGTCAGTCCCCATTTGTAACAATGGGTGTCTGATTTTATTTTTATGTGCCCATAGAGTTTAGTTTCAATCAGGTTGATCCTTCTCTTAAGAAGCACTAGGTCATCAACTTGCTGCTGTAATTCCTGGGTGTTCTTTGCATACCAGGTTATGTCTAGGTTATGTGTTCTTCGCATTCAAAGATGGCCATTTCTTCCTCCTCATTGCATAACCAACAAATGGGGTCATCAAAATACTTATTTATGTACATGTTTTCTCAGATGCCAGTTATCAGTGTATTGTCTTATCACTCCTCTGACTTTAATCCTTTCAACTTTAGCAGTTTGCCAGTCTTGCTAAGGGTTTTTTTTAACATAAGTTTTCTGTATTTAGCCCCTAGAGTTTATCTACCCGTATGTAATACATTTATATCTACATCTACCTACCAATGTATAGTATTTATCTGTATACATTGTTGGAGACATTGGCACCCTTTTTTTTGAGAGGAGGAAAATTGGGGGATGAGTGTAAGAGGGTAGTATTCGGCCAGCCTTCAAGTCAAAAGCATGTAAGTGAACCAGTTTCGTTTTTCATTTGTGTAATTGTGTTATATTAACATTTTTATATTCATTCATTATTTTCATGTTCATTTTTCATTTAGTTCATTTCACTCAAAGTTCAGTCTATGATAATCAGTTAATGTAAATTAAATAAATTAAAGATTGTCGTTTGTAATTCAATAACATTTTATACAGTCCACTCAAACAAATATACAATGTATCAACCATACATACTTTACTGGTTGTGGGCATCTGCCTGTTAATAAATAAATAAATAATTGGTCAATTTCTATTAGTAGTTATTTTGTACTCGTAATCATAAAAAACACAAATTTTTTTGTAAGTAATTCTTCAGAATAAGACAAAAATGTAAAAAAAAATTGATTTTTCAAAATTGTGTGTCGTCAGCCGTTTGTACGATTTCGTTCTTTTTTTCTTTTTTTTTTTTTTGTGGGTAGGTTGGAAAAGATGAAAAACGGAAAGTGAAATAAGAAGAAATTCATTTGAATTTTGAAGAAGGGCAGAATCGTATTTGAAAACTGTTTTTGGATTTTGGTCAGATTTTTGAGGGAGGCCGGCTGTGATTCACCATTTGTCCGATGACGCGCCGGTGGGATCGGTCGCGGCCCCGTTCTCAATTTCCGCGCATCTCTAGCGAGCACAGCTGTTTCCCCTCAAAACATATGATATGACTTTTTCGTCCGATTTGACTTTATTATGACATCGGAAGCCTGCGTACTGGGTTCTCGGTCGTTGAAACTTCACTATTTATAGGTGGTGGCCCGTTGTAGAAATCGCGATTTTCTCCCGCTGTCGTTTATCCCGGCCGGATGATGAGGATGTGAACGAGGGACGTGCGGAGGGCGACGAGGGTTGCGACCGTGTAAAAATAACAGCGAGGGACAGTTCTAAAATGTAATTACCCCGCGAGTGTTCAGCTCGAAAAAACAAAAGAAAAGATCAGATCGAGTTTTGTTTTTGATTTTCGACTCGCGAATCGGAGTCGGATCGCGGCCCGTTTCGAATCGGTATAAAGTCGCGTATCCAATCCGGATCCTCGGAGATGTATTCGATCGTTTGCAATTCGGCCAACGAGCCGGACAGCCTCCTCAGCCAGTGCTTCAAGTTCGTCGTGAGGAATTTGGACTCGGTGTTCGTGAGGGACCCGGCCTCGAACGGCTACGAGCTGGTCCCGGGGCAGGCCTTCCCGAGGGAGATCTGCGAGGAGTTGATCAGGGTGCACCAGCAGGTCGGCCTCCAGGTCAACGACAAGTTCGTCCGCCTATTCCGGGACCTGGCCAACACCAAACTCCTCCATGTCAGACTCAGGAACTCCAACATCACAGACGACGGCCTCTCCACGCTCCTCAAGCACCGGCTCGTCGAGCTGGACATCGCCAAATGCCATGTCATCACCGACGCCTCACTCAACGAGTTGAACCTCTACGGGGAAAGGCTCGAGTCGTTGAGCATAGGAGCCGGAGTCCAGCTCCTCCCCGACACCCTCTGCTACCAGGTGCCTCCTCAGTGGGGCGCACACTGCGATTCCGCCCTCTCGTACGAAGAGCGCGGCTACATCCTCAAAGCGCCCAACCTCCGCAGGCTTGCGGTCAAAAACCTCTACATCCACAGGGAGAAGCGATACTTTCCACTTTTGCTCGAGTCGTTTCCCAACCTTGTCGAACTCGACCTCTCCGGCTGCAGCGATGTTGAAAATCTGGAGTACATCGTCAAGCTGGTCCACCTCCAGTCACTTGTACTTCACAATATTTTTAAAGTTCAAGAGTCTCTGCCTTACATATGTCAACTGAAGTCATTGAGGTGAGCTTTTCGCTTTTATTTTTTCGGTGTTAAACATAAAGGCTTTATTCATTTTACATTCTTACTTTAAGCCTACTTGAGCTTCATTGTTTTGTTTAACCTTTTTTCCTTCTACAATTTTTCAGGCCACTTGCTTTTCACATTTTTATTTTTTTCCCTCATCATGGGATTGTTTACATAATCTCCAAATTATTATTTTGACATTAATCAGGACATCATAACGATATGAATTGTATAAGCAAATATCAAACTTTCATGGATTTTATTTTTTAAATTTGAAATTATTTTTCATTTGAAATTTCTGCGAGAAAAAAAAAAGTTGCTACAAATTTGTTAATAACAACTGTATTGATTTGATCATTTATTTTTTAATTTTTATGAAAAGAAGTTTGAGAAGAAAAACTATTGTCATGAGTGGGACTCGAACCCACCCCAGTGCCACTCCGATCGCAGCTAACTATTATTTAAATTTTCCCTGTTACTGCCAACGTTGAAAGATCATAGCATCAATTAATTTGTCATTGACGAAGACCCAACAAGGTCAGACAGACCAAGATGGTCAGTAAGGATCAAATTTTATGTTCAACAACCCACAGACCACAGGAGAAAATCTTACGATAAAATATTGCTGAAAAATATTCTTTTTAATTCTGACTGTTCAGAATCGAATTGGAAAATCATCTATTTGCTACTATTATTACTAAAGTTCAAACATTTGAGATGAGCTCGTCAGTTTTACTTTTTCAGTTTTAAAAATCAAGGTTTTATTCATTTTACAGTCTTACTTTAAGCCTACTTGAGTTTCATTGTTTTATTTAACCTTTTTTGCTTCTGCAGTTTTTCAGGCCATTTGCTTTTCATATTTTTTTATTTTTTATTTTTGCTTGTCATGGGATTGTTTGTGTAATCTTCAAATTATCATTTTGACATTAATGATAACAATATGTATTGTATAGGCAAGGCCCAACTTAGATGGATTTTATTTTTCATCTGAAATCTTTGTGATGGGAAAAAAATTTTGCTTCAAATTTGTTAACAACTGGATTGATTTGATTTCTTTTTCAATTTTTAAGCAAAGAAAGTTGAGAAAAAACTATTGTCACAAGAGGGACTCGAACCCACGACCCCTGGCTTTTTAACCCGGTGCCCCTCTGGAGATCTCAGCCAACTATTATTTAAATTTTCCCCGTTACTGCCAACGTTGAAACATAGCATCATTTAGTTGCGATTCAACTCATCGGCGCATCAATTTTTCTTCTTAACCTTCTTTCCATAAAATTACAAAAATAAATAAAAACTAATAACTAATAAAAATAATTATATTTGATAATAATTCATATTTGCTTTATTTTTATTTCTTTTTGCATCAAACAATTATACAGCCATGTTACAAATAATATATACAATTTAAACAGCTCGTATTATATTTTCACAAACACTTCTTTTAAACATTTTATTATCAAGTTATACACTCTGGGATTCTTGAATAGAGCTCTAGTTTCAGTAATTGGGTGTTCTACTCCTTCTTTCTCCAGATCCTGGTAGAATTTATTTCTAGCTGACGAATGTTGGCTGCAGTGAAACATTATGTGCGTTAGGTCCTCCTTTACTCCGCATGTGTCACAATTTGGGTGTTGTTTTGTGCCAATCTTGTGAAGATATGCTGCGCAGATGCCATGGTTTGTTCTTAACCGATGTATGGTGGTTATGTCTTTTTTGTCATGTCTAGTTTGTTAAACCACGGTATTGTTTTCACAAGTGGAAATAATGTTTTGTAAGCCATTCCCTTATCCGAGGCAGAGTATTCAGTTTGCCATTCTATTTGAATTCTCGTTTCCAATATTTGAAAAAGGTCTGTGCTAGGAATCCTCATGATTCTAGGGGTGAGTAACTGTGTTGCATTTTTTTGCAAGTTTGTCGGCTTTTTCGTTGCCGTAGATGCCCGTATGTCCTTTAATCCACACAAAAGAGACCTTTTTTAAAAGTGGAAAAGTTGTTGTCTGTCTTTTTATGTCAGCTGCAATATAATTCTTAAAGTTAATAAATGTGTTTTGCAAGCAGTGCATTGCACTGAGGCGTCTATGCAAATTATAATGTGATTTGTTGTAGGAAGGTTGAGTGTAAGGAAAGTTAACGCTGCCTTAATTGCTAATAATTCCGCTGAATAAATTGATATCTCTGCCGGCAGAGGAATTGATTCCCTTTTATGATACTAATATTTTATTAATACTAATATTTTATACTAGTATTTTGATACTAGGGCAGAACTAGGAGCATCCAACCTTCCCAGACTTGAGGGATCCATCGGTGTAAAACAGTTAGGTGGTCCTTAGGGAAAAGTTCCTGAAGATCAGCAAGTACTTGTTGATTAACCGCTACGGGATTTTGTCCATATTTGCTTAGTGGTCCTTATTGTCCATATTAATTATTCCAATTAATTATTCTTTTTATATAAGGTTTTTGGTTGGGATGAAAAATTAATGTCACGAGTGGGATTCGAACTCACGTCCTTCGGTTCAATATTCCGCTGCTCTAACCACTTGACTTCGAACCCCTCGGACACCAACTCCTTCAAATACCACTCGTGACACTAATTTTTCATCTCGGCCTAAAACCTTATGCTGCTCAAGGGGTTAGAGCAGCGGCGTATTGAGCCAAAGGTCGTGGGTTAGAATCCCGGTCGTGACACTAATTTTTTATCTCAACCATAAACCTTAAATAAAAAGAATAATTAATTTGATAATAATGATATCTACAAATTTACATAATTAAGTTTTTTTAATAGATGGTTTCAAATTTCTTTGAAGGAAAACTCAGTCCTAACATTTATTGTAATAGTATTATCACTTAATTATATCAATTTGTAGACATCTTTAAGATTATTTTGCCCTGACGATGTCCTTAATATTTTTTTTTAAAATTAAATTTTATGTTCAGCAACCCGCAGACCACAGGAGAAAAAGCTTATGATAAAAATTGCTGAAAAATATTCTTTTTAATTCTGACTGTTCAGAATCAAATTGGAAAATCATCTATGTGCTGCTATTATTATTAAAGTTCAAACATCTTTGAGATGAGCTCGTCAATTTTACTTTTTCAATTTTAAAAATTATGGTTTTTATTCATTCTACATTCTTATTTTAAGCCTACTTCATTGTTTTGTTTAACATTTATGCTTCTAGTATTTTCCAGGCCACTTGCTTTTCACATTTTTTTTATCGTTGCTCGCCATGAGATTATTTGCTAATAAAATTGATAACAATAAAATCCCTTGTACATGTGTATAGTTAAATGACTTAATGCTCATGGATTTATTTTAAAATCTTAGTTTTTTTATCTGAAATCAATGTGATGTTGGGCTTAGGTTATCATTTTCCAGTAGTTTGGCGGTAAAAAAAAGTTTTGCTACAAATTTGTTAATAAAAACTGGATTTTCATATTTTATAGTAACGCCATATACAAATTAATTAAGTTTTTAATCAGTCCCAACAGTGCAATAGTAGTACTTAATTATGTCAAGTTGTAGGCATCTTTAAGATTATTTTGCCCCGATAGTCCTTGAAATAGGGGAAAGCTTGGCATTAAAGGTTGATTTTTTTTTTCTTTCCATCGAGACCATATTATGCTCCAGATTATTTATGAGCAATTAGAAAAGGGAGCAATTTTAAAATTAGGTTTAAAATATTCAATAATTTGATCCGTTTTAATCATCTTGGTCTGCCTATCCACACTGGGATAATGGGGTGGACAAAACGCAAGACATGCTGACCCAGTGAGGATGAACAGGCCATGGTGATCGGTAAGGATCAAATTGTAGGTTCAACAAGCAGGCCTCAGGAGAAAATCCCTTGATAAAGTATTGCTTAAAAACATTATTTTTAATTCTGACTGTCAATAATGAAATTGGAAACTCATCTATTTTTTATCATTATTATTATTACTTTTTAATTCAGCTTCTTTGAGGTGAGCTCGTCAGTTTTACTTTTTCAGTGTTAAACATCAATCATTCATTCTACATACTTTAAGCCTATTTGAGTTTCACTGTTTTGTTTAACATTTATGCTTCTACAATTTTTCAGACCGCTTATCTTGCTTTTCACATTTTTTTTTTATTGCTAATAAAATCGATAACAACAAAATCCCTTCTATATTTGTATAGGCGAATGGCTACATGTACATGGAGTTTTTAAAAAATATTGGTTTTCATCCGAAATCTATGCGATATTAGCTTTGGATTATGACACTGTCTTGGTTCTAGTATTATGGGAAAAAAGTTACATATTTAGACTTAACAGTGCACCAATCTAGAATTGTTTAAACAAAAACAAATACACATTTGGCCGGAAATAGAAAAGAGAGCAGTTTGAAGGTTTAAAATATTCGGTAATTTGATCCTTATTAATAATCTTGGCCTGCCTTTCATCTCTGGGATAACTTGGTCGACAAAACGCATCTTGACTGACCGACCCAGCGAAGATAGGCAAAGATGATCTGTAAAGATCAAATTACAGGTTCAACAACTCTCAGACCACATGAGGAAATATTCTACTTTCTATTGCTTAAAAACATTCTTTTTGTTTCTCACAGTTAAGAATTGAATTGGAAAATAATCTATTTGTTATCTATCATCTATTTTAAAGTAAGCATCTTTGGCGTGATCTCGTCATTTTAATTTTTATAGTGTTAAACATCAAGGTTTTATTCATTTTACATTAAGACTACTTCAGTTTCATTGTTTTGTTTAGCTTTAATGCTTCTACAGTTTTTCAGGCCACTTGCTTTTCGCATTTTTTTATTGTTGCACGTCATGGGATTGTTTGCTTAATCTTCAAATTTATCATTTTGACATTAATGATAACGACAAAATCCCCTCTATATGTATTGTATAGGCAAAACATAAATAGTGTTTTTTTTTGTAAAATTTGGTTTTCATCTAAAATCTATGCAATATTGGCCTTGGAATATCACTGACTTCTCTAGTTTTTATTTTTTATTTATTT